GAAAGGAAGTTACACAAGTCATCTGAGACTCCATGATTAAAGCTGGAAACCCACAGGGAAACATACAAGGAAGAACTGAAATCCATATCTATTCTCATTGCCTCTGAGACCAGGCTTTTCTGAAGAAGCAGAATCCTTCATCAAAAAGCTAAACACTCACACCTAGCCCAGCTGATGTACAGTGCCAAGGACATAAGTCAGCAGATCAACAACAATGTGTGTACACTACAAATTGGCAGCTGCCTCCCTTTAGCCCTCCAAATCTCCCCAGAATCTCCTTTGCAGCTCATATTAACCAGAAACATACAGGAAAGGAATTGGGGGAAATGTAGTTTAGCCTAGCCAGGTCAGCTAAACTTGACACAAACTTTAAACAAAGCCTTTATGCTAATCATGCAGCCTAAAAGCCCCATAGACAAGAGTCAGGGCACCTTTCTTCAAGTTGAATTTCTGGCTCTGCTAGATTATCATGCACTGCCTGAGATGAATGAGCACTACAGAACCTGAACACCTGCCACTGATCAAGTTCCCTGATATTTACTCAATGATCACTAATCCAGCAGATCTTAGCATGCATGTTGTCTCAGCATTTACCTTTATTTAAACAACTAGTACTATAATAAACCAAATACAAAGAATAACTGAGAATTTATATACAAGGCAAAATGCTGAGCTTGGCACATAGTATGTGCTCAAGAAAGGCTAGCTCTGATTATTACCATTTTAATAATTACTATTTTTATTTAACTCTACCAACAAAGATTCTTAACTACATTTTATGGATTTAATGACTCATTCTTGGACCAGATTTTGTCCATTTTCAACTAAAAAATTATAATTCTAGTAAGGCTGACACCAAATATTAAAAAGATTGGTCATAAAGACATCAACTTTCACAATTCCTGACACAGAATCTATCATGTGCATGATAAGGTAGCAGTTAGAATTTACAATCCCAAGTTCAGGGAAATAACAGGTTGCATCTGAATCTTACACAATTTGGAAGACATACTTTTGGGATGAGAATATAAAATAAGGAATAAAGTTTACATATAATGGAAAATACTTAAGAATGAAAAAACATCACAATAATGTATACATTTTAAACAGCTGGAAAACACCACAAAACAAAATTCAGAAAAAAATGAACATTACATTTTTACTAATTGAAATCCTTCCACCTCTCACATTTTTGATGTACATGCTTTGATTGGCTTTTTATGTGATGATTTTGTAGTATCATTTTTTTAATATTTATTTTTTAGTTTTTAAGGTGGACATAATATCTTTATTTTTATTTTTATGTGGTGCTGAGAATCAAACCCAGGGCCTCACACATGCTAGGCAAGTGAGCTACCACTTGAGCCACATCCCCAGCCCATGTAGTATCATTTTTTAAATGAGGTAACTTTTATTAATAACTTTATTTTTTTAATATCTTTATTTTATTTTTATGTGGTGCTGAGGATCGAACCCAGTACCTCACACATGCAAGTCAAGTTCTCTACCACTGAGCTACAATCCCACCCCTTTAATAGCTCGACTTTATTCATTTGTTTTTATGGGGTGCTGAGGATTGAACCCAGGGCTCCACATGTGCTAGGCAAGCACTCTACCACTGAGCCACAACCCCAGCCCTGTAGTATCATTTTAATAGAGAAAATATAAACATAATTCAGTTTCCTAAAGTGACTGTGAAAAGTTTCAGCAGTTTAGAAAAATTTTAGTTGATAACTTAGTAATATCATTATTTTATATGATTGTTTTGTTAGATTTAGGGAAAATCTCTTCCAAGGAAAAAAGTTCCATTTCTGGTTAGGCATCAGTTAAGATCCAAATCCATCGTTTCAATTTTATACATTGGATGATTAGAAGAATTTTCTACTGACTGAGAGGCAGTCTCTAGTCTGTTGTGATGAATGCTATCCTTTGAGGATTCTTAGGGGTCAGATAGACAACTGGCCAGCCTTCTTCTTCCAAAGAATTCACTGTTAATGCAACATCCCATTGTTTCACACAGTTTGCAATGCATCGATAAAAATATTATTTGAGATGTAATATGATTGGCAAGATGGAAAACATCATACCACAAAATCTTTCCCTATTTCTCTTTTCTAGTCTTTGGTCATCTAATTTCTTCTTTATTTTCTTTCAAAGCTGCAAAGAACCATTTTGCACAGGTGTTCAGAAAAGTTGCTAGGTTCTGGTGTATGTAAATCTTCAGTCTTACTAGATAGTCCTCAGTTTATCCAATTTACAGTCATCTTCCTCATTCTTCCTTGTATTTAAATTCTACCTTGCTATAATTTTAGTTACAACTTCATATTATTTTAAAATTGAAAAGATTCATTCATAAGAATAATATCTTCCTTGTAATAACTCAATCTTCTCTCACCTTTCCCTCTTGAAATTATGAAAGATTTCAAAGGATTTCAGAAATACAAAAAGTCCAGACAGTAATATAATGAATACTCATGTATTCATGAATCAGCCTAATTAAAACTTGGCAAATAAGTTCCATATATCATCTCTCCCTATTAAGTTTCCTTCCCTCTGTCACCTCCATTAAAGGAACCAGTCTCCAATTTTGGTGTTTAGTAATTTTATGAAGTCTTTGTACTTATAAAACAAATATTGATATCACTAAAAAATATACAGTATTGATATTCATGTTCTAAAACCATATATCAATGGTATAATACTGTACCAATTCTTCTGAAATGTATTGTCCCTTAATATTGTATTTTTAAGATTTACCTAGTTTAACATCAACAGTACTAGTTCATTTATTTCAACTGCCACAGAATATTACATTTGTATGAATTTATTACAAATTACTCATTCCCTCACTAGTGACTGAAAGCTGTAATGCACATGTCTCCATGGAGAATTTCTGAGTTCTAGGTACTTTCAACTTTATTAGAGCCAAATTGCTCTCTAAAGTTGTTTTACCAATATACACTACTAAGTGTTGGTAATCTCAGGCTTTTCAATATTTACAAATCTAATGTTTGTAAAATGGAATCTAATCCTTCATTGCAATTCCATTTCCCAATTTAATAGTGAATTCGAGTATTTTTTCCAAAGGTTTATTTCCTCTTCTATGAATTGTCTGTTCATAGCTTTGCCTGTGCTTTAATTGTACTGGTTCATTTCTATTTCTTACTGCTTAGTACATATCATCAGTTATTTTTGCTGTAAATATAGTCTCTTAATGTGATTTGTGTTTTCATTCTGTATGGTAATTTTGATGTACAGAAATTTTAAATTTCAATGTAATTGAGTTTACCAATTTTTTTGTTTACTACTATCCTTATGCTTTGGGGGTCTTGTTTTCAAAACAACTTCCTGTAGAGATCATTAATAATATTCCACATACCTTTTCTTCATTAAAATTTTCCTTTTTATATTTGGATATTCTATCCATATGGAAATTTGGTTTTGATATGATATCATTTATGCAGTTATTTTTCTTTATGAATTTCTTGAGTAACCTTTTTTGAACTCTCTCTTCTTTATCTCTGTGTGGGTTGACTTGTGCCCTTCCAAAATATGTCTAAGTCCTAAACTTCAGTACTCCTGGATGTGACCTTATTTTTTAAAATGGTGTTTGCTGATGTGATTAAGTGATGAATGTGGAGATGTGATCATCCTGGATTAAGCTTGCAGGACCTAAAGTCAATGAGGTGTGTTCCTGTAAGAGGAGAAGACACAGAGACACAGGAGAAAGGTTATTTAAAGAAAGAAGCAAATATTGTTATTATGATTCTACCAGCCAGAGAACATTTGCTGCCAGCAGAAGTTGGAAAAAGCAAGGAGGGATTCTCCCCTAGAGTCTGTAGAAGGAATATCTTGATTTCAGACTTCTGGCCTCCATAATTATAAAAGATTGAGGGTTTTTTTGTTGTTGTTTTAAGCCACCCAGATTGTGGTAATTTCTACAGGAGCCCTAGGAAATTAGCATACTCCCACTGATCTGTAAGTGCCACCTCTGTCATGTACTGAGTTCCCATTCATGTGGGAGCTCTTTCTACACTCTCAATTTTGTTTGTTTATGTATGTCCAAGATAATGCCATGTTATCTTAATTACTATAACTTTCAATCATGTTATCTGACAAGGCAGGTTCTCTTAACTACTTCTTCCCAACATTACTTTGACTATTCTTGGCCCCAATATATCTCTTCAATATAAATTTGAAAACAAGGTTGTAAATTTCCATTAAAATCCTCTGTTCCATTTCAATAGCATTGAATTTAACAAACAGCTTGAAAAGAATATGTTAAAACACCAAGTAGTCTTATCTAGAACTCTTCCATTTATTTTAGTTACCTTGTTCTTTATTAAAGGTTTTACTATGTCCTCCAAAAATGTTATATATTTACATCAGATGCTCCCCTAGATCTTTTATATTTGTTGTTGCTATTTTTGAAGTTGTTTAGTTTTAGTGTTAAGAAACTTAGTTTTTGTATCATGATATTATTTCAAAGCAACATTGTTGAATTCTTTTAATTTGCATAATTGTTTGTAGATTCTCTTGGGTTATTTGAATAGAAAAATATATTATGGCAATTTGTTTCTTTTCTTTCTTTCCAGGCCATGTATAATAATATGACATTGAATAGAAGTAATGATGGCTATACTGTGTCTTTTTCTTGGTTTCAAGAGGGATGCTTATAATGATGCACCACTAAATTTGATGTTTAATGTAAGCAATTTTTCTTTATTTGCTGAGATGATCAATCTATCTTTCTTCTTCAGTCTGCTAAGGTGCTGAATTATCAGGTTGAGCCATCTGAAATTGCTGATATAAGACTTTTTGTAATCATGAAAAGGGCAATTTCACATAGCTCAACATAACATATTAATCATTTCTAATGTTAAGCTATTCTTTCATTCCATTATTTCATGAGGCTAATATGGACAAGTTAGTTTGTTGAAGTTGGGTTTGTTGCCAAATCAGTTTCACGAATAGAAGTTGTTGGTGTATGTTCCTCTTTTTTCTGGTACACCATTCCTAGAGATGCTGCAATATGCAATACTAGGTCAATGTGTGGTGGTGTTGACAGAAAAAGCTCCCATTCCATCTCCCTGCTCTGAAAATCCATTTAAAATACTTCTCCTCAGCAGATGTCTCAGATATTAAACCGCTAAGATCTGATATTCCACTTGATCTTAGCCAAAAGAATGAGAAGCAATGTTCATTCTTTCTCTATTTCCTAGAATAGTTTGTATAAGTTAAGAATTGTATGGTCTTAGGATATTTCATAGATATTACCCTGAAAAATAATCTTGGCCTGATATTTTTGCATGTGGAAGATGGGGTAAATTTTGTCTGTGGTTCAATTATTTTTATTTTATAATTCTGACCAAGTTTTCCATATTGAGTCCGCCTTGGTAAATTATATTTTCTTCACTTGAATCTAGCACATATTTGACATTAAAGAGTTTTTAGTACACACAAATGTTTCCTTCTGTATTAAAACAATTATTTCGGGTAACAGTTTCCCCTTTTACTGAATATCAAAGCCATGTGAACTGATTATGTCAGAAGATCATTCTTTTCTACTACTGCAAACAATGAACTCTGAGAACCGAATAAGCAATGAGACTATCTCTTGTGACTCACCTCAATTCTAAGGCAAGAAAGCCATTTGTGGTACATCCATTAGATCCTATTTATATTTTAATTTATTGCCAGTAAAATATTCATCTTTGGAATGAGAATAAATAAAACATCAATTATTAAAATGTGTTTGTGAATGTGTTTGTTGGGGAGGACCAAGTTCTAGTGAGAGAAAGAAGGGGGTGTGGGGAGAGAATATGTGTATATGTTCTGAACTTCTTACCACAATCACCAGAAACTCATGGACTAATTTTTCATTTTGACAAGGCATCAGATTCATTAGGATAATTTCCTATTCTCAACCACATTTGAATGCAAAATATACAACTTATCAACAAATACTTTGTTGAATAAATATAATGTAATTAAAAACTTGACAGTGTGAATTTATAATATATTTTGTTCATTGGAATACTCATTACCCTTCTTTGTTCCTGACCCACATGATTGTAATTGGTAATGCCAGGTAACACAAAAAATAAATACAGTGACCATTATTAATACCTTTATGTGTGAACAAACTAGACAAATGTTTTCAACCAGCATTTACTTAAGGCGTTCTTGCCATGAAGAGAAAATGTATCCCTTTAAAAAAACTTACAGTGCAGGTGCTGGAAAAACCCTGAGGATGGATGTCCCTTGCATTTTTGCATGCCATTTCTTTTGCTAAGAGCATTTTGTCTGGAACATCCCTATTTATCCTTTAGAACAGGTGTCAGATAGTAAATATTTTAGGTTTTGTGGGCCATGTTAGTCATCATCCCAACTATTCAACTCTGTTCTTGTAGCATGGAAGCAGCCATGGACAATATTAAACAAGTGAGGGTATCTGTGTTCCGATAAAATTTAATTTACACAAATGAACAGCAAGTTACATATGGCCTAAGGACGATCGTTTACTGACTCATGACAGAAAACCCTCTGCATACAGAGAGAAGCAAAAGAATACAATGATTAAAACATGGGCTCTAGAGCCACACAGCCTGGTTTCTAATTCTGGCTCTGCCACTTATAAGTTGTGTGACTTTAAGCAAGTCATATATTTCCTTGTGTTTGTTACCTCATTTGCAAAATAGAACTTATTATACCTAAAATGAGTTAATAGATACTAATGAGGTTAGCAAAGCGCCTGGTATATAATAAGTACAATACTGTGTATGGGGTAGCTGTTATGACTATGTAGCATTCTCTATATTTTCTTATTCTAGGAAATTTTGCATATTACTTCTTTAGGCCAGGGATACAGACAAAATTAACTTTAAGTCTGAAAGGGCCTTAAAATGAGAATACCAAATTTAATCTAAATAAAGAAAAGGGTAGTCAACTAACAAAAGAAGGGTATGGGAGTATAACAATAAGTAACCAGATGTCTTCAGTGCGTAATGTTAAAAGAAGGTGATCAAGATGAAAAGTATAAAAGGTAGAATGAATACCAAAGTAACTGGAAAAAAGGAAAAGAATTACAGAAATTCAGTATAGAATGGAAAAGAGAGGAGACTATACAGTGTAGCCTATCTCTTAAATTCTGGTTTTCACTGGCAGGCTATGTAGGTTGTTCTGGTTGCATGAAGATCTACTTGGCCTTATGGAATGGATGCTGGATATAAATTTCAGAACTCACAGCCAGGTCCTGGAATCCAAGATTTAAATCCCAGCAAGACAAAGACCTCTTCAAGTTCAAAAAGGAGTGCATAGATGGACAGAGAACTCACAGTTAGCCAGAACCAAGTCAAGATGATTTGTCTCTGTTCTGGGACCCTTATTTTAACTGCAAAAAGAATACTTCTTAACATGATGCTAGGTAGTACCTTTCATATGGCTTCTATATCAGAAGCTAGGCTAGGTTAGATAATGCTTGACCAAAAAATCACCCCAAAATTCAGTGGCTTGAAACAACAAAAGTTTATTTCTCACATATGCTTCATAACCTTTGCAGGTTGGCAGGGGGCTCCGTTCCATGTGGTCTTCACTCTGAGACCTCGACTTGTTGAGAGCCACAGCCAAGGGGCCCCAGCAAACTTCCAGCTGCCGGCTGATGATTGGCTCACAGCGGCCCCAGCAACATCTAGCTGATTGGCTCCTCGGCCCCAGCAACATCTAGCTGATTGGCTCCTCTGCAGTGATGCTCATTGGACTGTTTCCTTGCCCTTTCAGACCACGGAGCTGCTCATTGGGGGACTTTTTTGGCTCCGCCCACGTGACCCAGCCAATCGGCCTCAAGAGCAGGAGGATTGTGGGAGGTGGAGAGAAGCTTGTGTGGGAGAGAGGCGCTTGTGGAAAGCCGGTGGTGGCAGTTGAGGCTCTGAGGGTTTTTCCTGAGAGGCTGTTTTGTTTGGCGTGTGTGGTTCTAAAAATAAAGTTAGTTTCTTTTGACAAGTGGCTCCTGATTGTGCCCAGCCAGACTGTGGCATCGACTGATAAAGGGATTACAACCTGGATCACTGCAAGTTATTTTGGCAGAAGTTTCACATTAATTATTTAATGTTCCAGCCCAGAATACTCATTGCTTCCAGGTCATCTTATAGCCTGGAATTAATCACATAGCCTGACCTAACCACAAGAGGGCCAAGAAGACAATCCTAATAAGTGCTAAGAAGTTGGAGTGCCAGAAGTATCTGATGAGCAGTAACTAATGATTCCATCTTCAACCCATTATGGAGAACATTTATCCCCATTTTCTTTAAAAGAGAAGCTTTGAAAATATTGAAAGAGCCAGCTTTTGGAATCTACTGAAAGAATTCTAAACACCATCAGTGAGAAGCCCACTTTCACTCAAGAAACCTTAGAAAATTGAACAAATACTAGAAGCAATATTTATTACGGATGTCACCATAGGTGGGTATGGTAGTAGCTGTACCATCAAACATCACATCCCACATGCTTGTCTAACAATGCAATGTCACCACTTCTCCATTTAGACATGGGCCTGTGTTCACATATGTGTGGGCCCAGTTCTTGCATCTCTATTTTATTTCATTGATTCATTTCACTATCTTGATGTCAATACCACATTGTCTTTACAAGCTTTTAAATTAAATAGTTTTACTCCTCTAACTTTGATCTTCTTTTTTCAAGGGTATGTCTGCTATTCTATTTCCTTTACATTTCCATATCACTTTAGAATCAGACAGAATCAAGGAATTGGACTCTGTCTGTAAACTGGATAAGCTTTGAGAGGTTCCCAAGCATCAATATCTACAAAAGAGCCTATTGGAGTTTTAATTTGTATTGCAGTGAATATAGAAACTGATTTAAAAATTATTGATATCTTACCAATATTGTGTCCTTCAACCAATGAACATGGTATTTCTCTCCATTTATTTAGTTCTTCTTTAACTTCTCACAGTAATCTTTTGAGTTTATCAAATACAGGTTGTAGTTGGCAGAGTTATAAGAAGGTCCCCAAGATTCTGACTTCCTGGTATACATGCCCCATATAATTTCCTCTCCATGAGTATGAGATTTCACACCTGTAATTAGAGTAATAATCAGTCAATTTTGAGTTAATAAAAAGAAGCCAATCTTGGGTGGGTCTGACTTAATTGGGGGAGTTCTTAAAAGAAGGTAAAGCACCTGAGAGACAGTTTCCTGCTGCCTTCAAAGATGATGAAATATTCCATGAGTGCTACAATTTCAAGAAACTGGATTCTGTCTGTAAACTGGATGAACTTTAAGAAGTTCCCAAGCATCAGACAAGATCATAGCTCCAGCTGACACCTTGATTACAAATTTGTGATCTGTAGTCTCTAAGCAGAAGATTCAGTTGAGCCACAAAAACTGTGTATGTTAGTCCATTTGGCTGCTCAAACAACACTATATAGAGAGTGGCTTATAAGCAACAGAAATTTATTTCTCACAGTTCTGGGGACTGGGAAATCTAAGATTAATGTACTAGAAGATTTGATATAAGGCAGGGTCCTGCTTCCTATTTCACAAAAGGCAATCTTTTTCTTGTGTACTCACACAATAAAGGGTGAGGAGGTTTTCTAGAATCTCTTTTTTAAAATATTTTTTTCATTTTTAATTAACACATAATAATGACACACATTTATCGGGTAAATTGTGATATTTTAATACAAGTATACCATGTGGAATGAACATAGCAGGATAAATGGCATATCCATGACTCCTGACATTTATAATTTCTTTGTGATAGGAGCATTCAGAATTATTTCTATTAGTTATTTTGAAGTGCACAATTAATTGTAGACAGCCATAGTTAGTCAATATTGAGCTATGGAACATTAGAAATTATTCCTCCTATCTAATTGCACCCTCGTATCCATTAACCATTCTTTCTCCATATCCCTCTTCCATATCCTTCCTAGGCTGTGATAATCACTATTTCACTCTCTACTTCTGATATCAAATTTTTAGCTTACACATTTAATTTAGAACATGCAGTATTTTTCTTTCTGCACATGACTTATTTCACTTAACATAACATCTTCCAGTTCCATCTACATTGCTGCAAATGACAGAATCTCATGCTTTTTCATAGCTGGATAGTATTTCATTGTATCTGTACACCACGTTTTCTCTATCCACTCATACAATGATGGACATTTAGGTC